GGACCGAGGTCACCGTGTGAGAAATGGGGCTAAAACGGGGGAAATCGGGAAAAAATGGGGTGAAAATGGGAAAAACGGGCAGCGGGACCGAGGTCACCGTGTGAGGAATGGGGCAAAAACGGGGGAAAATGGGAAAAATGGGAAAAACGGGGAAAAACGGGGAAAACGGGCAGCGGGACCGAGGTCACCGTGTGAGAAATGGGGGGAAAACGGGAGGAAATGGGCAAAAATGGGGAAAACAGGCAGCGGGACCGAGGTCACCGTGTGAGAAAAATGGGGGAAAAAAGGGAAAAAATGGGGAAAATGGGCAGCAGGACTGAGGTCACGGTGTGAGAAATGGGGGAAAAACGGGGGAAAACGGGAAAAATGGGGAAAACGGGCAGCGGGACCGAGGTCACCGTGTGACAGAAATGGGGGAAAAAAGGGAAAAAACGGGCAAAAATGGGGAAAAATGGGGAAAATGGGCAGCGGGACCGAGGTCACGGTGTGAGAAATGGGGGGAAAACGGGCAAAAATGGGAAAAATGGGGAAAATGGGGAAAAATGGGCAGCGGGACCGAGGTCACGGTGTGAGAAATGGGGCAAAAACGGGGGAAAACGGGCAAAAATGGGGAAAACGGGGAAAACGGGCAGCGGGACCGAGGTCACTGTGTGAGAAATGGGGGGAAAAAGGGAAAAAATGGGAAAAATAGGGAAGAAATGGGGCAAAAATCAGCAAAAATGGGGAAAAGAGACAAAATCGGGGGGGAAATGGGGAAAGTTCAGCAAAAATGGGGCTAAAATGGGAGAAATCAGCAAAAATTGGGGGAGAAATGGGGGAGAATCAGGCAAAAATTGAGAATATTGGAGGGAAATGGGGAAAAACGAGCAAAAAGTGGGGGAAAATGGAGAATATTGGGGGAAATGGCAAAAAAGAGGGGAAATAGGGAAAAATTGGGGGGAAAGGGTGAAAATTTGGGGGAAAATGGAAAAAAATGGGTAAAAACCCCGGAAATGAGGGGGGAGAGCCCCAAAATTCCCCAGAATTGGGGAAATCCCGGAACGTTCGGGGCCTCCCCCGGTTCGGGGGTCTGGGGTCCCCTCCGATGACGTCACTGCCCGGATGATGACGTCACAGCCATTGCGATGACGTCACAACCACGGTGATGACGTCACAGCCCCGAATTCCGGCACTGGGCGGCGATGACGTCACCGATGACGTCACCGACGCTGAAGCCCCGCCCCTCCCGTGGCCTTTGCGGTGACGTCACGCCCCGGCGATGACGTCATAGCCCCGCCCCCGCAGCCGATGATGTCACGCCCCAAACGCGGCAGCTGGTGACGTCACACACCCCACGATGATGTCACAGCCCCTCCCACGATGACGTCACCGCCTCTCCTCGATGACGTCACCGCCTCCCCACCCCCCGAGCAGCCGATGATGTCACAGCCCCGCCCGATGACGTCATCCCGCCCCCGATGATGTCAGCACTGTGGATTTTCGCCTCCATCTGGGGCCAATTCCGCCGATTTTGGGGCTGGGGGCTTTTGGGGGGAGTCACGTGGGGTGGTTTGGGGGCGGGGCCTCGCGGGAGCTCCTTGGGGGGGAATTTTGGGGTCCCCGAAGGAATTTGGGGGATCCCGCAAACGCCGCGCTCCGATTGGCTCAAACACCTGTCAATAACGCGATCCCCGCCCTCTGATTGGTCGCGCCGCACGCCAATCAAGCGCGGCCCCGCCTCCCGGAAGTCCCGGTTCATCCTTCCCAATCCGCGTTTCCCATTGGCTGGCGCGCCCGCCAATCACCGCCGTTCAAACCGGCGGCCCCGCCCTCTTCCGCCGACCGTTACGGCGCAAACAACGCGCCGAGGCCCCGTCCCCCGCTCCCTTCCCCTCACGAATCCGCCAATCAGCGCGCACGCCCCGCCTTTCCCCTCGCTTCCCATTGGCCGCCCCGCCGGCCGCCCGGCGCTGATTGGTGGGCGCGGCGGTGGGCGTGGCCGCGCGCGGCCGAGGTTATAAAGGCGGCGGCGCGGGCGGGGGGAGCCCTCAGCGCGGCGGGTTGGGGATTCCTTTCCCTTTTTAACCAATTCCAGATAATTTTATCCGTTTTTGGGGTGTCCAATCTCTCATTTTTGAGCTTTTTTTTCCCCATTTTTGTTCCATTTTTTCTCCTTTTAGATCAATTTTTCCTCCTTTTGGATCCATTATTTCCATTTTTGATCCATTTCCCTCCGTTTTTATGCCATTTTTTCTTTTTTTGGAACCATTTGTCCCATTTTTGAGCCATTTCCCCCCATTTTTATGTCACTTTTCTCCATTTTTAGGTGATTTTTCCCATTTTTGAGCCATTTTCCTGCTATTTTTTTCAAGTTTTAGGTAATTTTTTCCTATTTTTTCACTTTTAGGCTGTTTCTTTTACTTTTTGAGCCATTTTTGGTCACTTTTTTCCCAGTTTTAGATTTTTTTTTTTCCTTTTTAATGCATTATTCCCACTTTTGGTCCATTTTCCCCATTTTTGAGCCATTTTTCTGCCACTTTTGGGCATTTTTTCCCATTTTCAGGTTTTTAATTTTTCATTTTTCAGCCATTTTTTCGCATTTTTAGGCCCTTTTTTCTTTTCCTTTTTTGATCCTTTTTTCTCATTTTTGATCCATATTTTCTCATTTTTAGGGCATTTTTTCCCATTTTTTATTTGTTTCCCCCCCATTTTTAGGCCGTTTCTTGTCCTTTTTTGATTCTTTTTTATTTCATTTTTTAGCATTTTCTTTTTGCCATTTAATCCCATTTTTAGACCATTTTTCCCAATTTTGATTCATATTTGGGCCGTTTCTTCTCCATTTTTTGATCCATTTTTCTGATTTTGAGCCATTTTTCATCCATATTTTCCCATTTTTAGACCCTTTTTTCTTTTTTGATCCATTTTTTCTCATTTTTGACCCATTTTTTCCCATTTTAGGCCATTTTTTTGCCTTTTTTGACCCATTTCTTTTTCTTCTTTTTGAGCCATTTTCTTTTCATTTTTCGCCCATTTTTTCTTACTTTTATCCCGTTTTTGATCCATTTTTTCCTACTTTTAATCCGTTTTTTCCTATTTTTCACCTATTTTTGATCCATTTTTTTTCTCATTTTAATCCACTTTTTAATCCATTTTTTCCCATTTTTCCTTTTTCCTCCCCTCCTTCCACCCCCTCCCCCATTCTGGGGTCACTTTTGGGGTCTCCCCCTTTTCCCCTCCCCCATTTTGGGACCCCCCTGACGCCCCCCCGCGGTTCCTCTTTGTGAGGTCACTCTGGGGGTGTCCCCCCGGGTTTTGGGGTGCCCCCTGACACCCCCCGGGTTTTGGGGTGTCCCTAATCCCCCTCGATGTGCCCCCAGACCCCGAACGCCGAGAACCTGCCCCCCCAGACCCTGCGCCTGCTGTGCCGCGAGGTTTCTCTGCTCAGCGCCGACCCCCCCGACGGCATCAAGGTGTTCCCCAACGACGAGGACGTCACCGACCTGCAGGTGGCCATCGAGGGGCCAGGTACCCCAAAACGTACCCCTGAACCCCAAAAATGTCCCCCCAAAACCTGGGGAACCCCAACAACCCCTGAGCCCCAAAATACCCCATGGCAAACGGGGAAATCCCTGAGCCGCAGGGATCCCCGAGCCCCCGGTGATGTCACCGAGCTGCAGGTGGCCATCGAGGGGCCAGGTACCCCAAAACGTACCCCTGAACCCCAAAAATGTCCCCCCAAAACCTGGGGAACCCCAACAACCCCTGAGCCCCAAAATATCCCGGGGAAATCCCTGAGCGCCAGGGATCCCCGAGCCCCCGGGGATGTCACCGAGCTGCAGGTGCCATCGAGGGGCCAGGTACCCCAAAACGTACCCCTGAACCCCAAAAAACCTCCCTGGGGAAACGGGGAAATCCCTGAGCGCCAGGGATCCCCGAGCCCCCGGGGATGTCACCGAGCTGCAGGTGCCATCGAGGGGCCAGGTACCCCAAAATGTACCCCTGAACCCCAAAAATGTCCTTGTGAACCCCAAAAACCTTCCTCTGAATCCTGGGGATCCCCCTGAACCCCAAAAAACCTCCCTGGGGAAACGGGGAAATCCCTGAGCCCCAGGGATCCCTGAGTCCCAGGTGACGTCACTGACCTGCAGGTGGCCATCGAGGGGCCAGGTACCCCAAAAACAACCCCTGAACCCCAAAAATGTCCCCCCAAAACCTGGGGAACCCCAACAACCCCGGAGCCCCAAAATACCCCATGGAAATCCCTGAGCGCCAGGGATCCCCGAGCCCCCGGTGATGTCACCGACCTGCAGGTGCCATCGAGGGCCAGGTACCCCAAAATGTCACTGTGAACCCCAAAAATGTCCCTGTGAACCCCAAAAACACCAATCCTGAACCCCAAAGATACCCCCCCCCCAAACCTGGGGAACCCCTGAATCCCAAAAACCTTCCTGGGAAATCTGGGAAATCCCAGAACTTGGGAAGTCCCTGAGCTGCAGGTGCCATCGAGGGGCCAGGTACCCCCAAAATGTACCCCTGAACCCCAAAAAAACACCTTGAACCCCAAAAATACCAACCCTGAACCCCAAAAACACCCCCCTGAAACCTGGGGACCCCCCCCCCCCCCCCTCCTGGGAAATCTGGGAAATCCCAGAACTTGGGAAGTCCCTGAGCTGCAGGTGCCATCGAGGGGCCAGGTACCCCCAAAATGTACCCCTGAACCCCAAAAAAACACCTTGAACCCCAAAAATACCAACCCTGAACCCCAAAAACACCCCCCTGAAACCTGGGGACCCCCCCCC